TTAATGGCATAAACACACAGGGAAGATGATCTTCCTTTTAGAGGATTGTTTTTTTTTTTTTTGAGAGGGGGCAGCACCTTTAATGCCTTTTGAATTATCAGGGTAGTTCCCTGAAAATCCACATGGGCTGTGGGAGCAGGAGTGGATGTGCAGGAGAAATGGGATTTGGGGGGAAGCACCTGGAAGGACTTGTAGATCCCAGAGGAAGGCAGTGGGTATCCCCAGGATTTATCAGGACAGAAATGGGGAGAATAAAGCCCCAAGTGTGTTGATTCTGGGAGGGAAATAATCTGTACTGAAGGTGAGAGCCAGAGTTGGCCTCGAGGACGCTGGGAGTTGCTGGATGGGCCACACTGGACACACATGAAGGATTTGGGATCACAAGGATGGTTTTCCAAGGCTGCTGAAGTCTCTTGGCAGCTGAAAAATCACCTGAGGAAGTTGGATCTCTCCCAGAACCAGGGAGCTGAGGGTGGTGATGGTGGAGTTTGAACCTTGAGAGGTGTTTTAACTCAACTGGGAGGGAGAGATTTGTTCTTTGTGTGCCAGGAAGCAGAGTTGGAACCAGTGTGGAAGGTGATGATGGTGGAGTTTGGGATTTGAGGGGTGTTTTGACCCCATTGGAAGGGAGAGGTTTGTTCTTTGTGCCCCCAAACTGAGTCCTGACGTTGTCTGAGTGGAGAGTCAGCAATAATCACGGGGTGTGTTGATGTGATCGTGTTCCATCCAGGGCCAGCACCTGCCATCCCATAACATCAGAGTGGTCATCCTGGAAATTGGGAGTGTGTTGGGCCTGGCTTGGCTGCTCCCTGTTTATTTTTGTTTCGGAGGGAGGATGGAAATCAAAGATGTTGGTTCTTGAAGGGAGGATTTGGGGTGAATTGGGAGAATTCGGAAGGGAAAATAGAAAATCTCCTTAAATCTGAGCTTAAAGCTGACCCAGCATCTGCTGGGCTTTGTTCCTGAACACTAACTACTTCCTTTTTTTTTTTAAACTAAAGAATAAGAATAAAAAGGGTTTAATCACCAACCTTAATGTCTTAGATTTGCCATTTCCAAAGAGAGTTTTGCCTGGAGTTTGTAACTAATTTTGAGTTCCCCCCCCCCCCATTGACAGGTACATACATTCATTTGAATGCAAACCAATTAATTTTCATCCAGAATTACTGTGATTTTTTTTTTTTAATTATTTATACCTGAGTGCAAACACATCTCACCTATTTTAATTTTCTTGTTGGATGGAATTGTCCAACTTGAATTGAGAGTTTTGGGTCGTTGGGTTTGCTGAGACCCTGCAGCGAGGCCGTTCAGCACTAGATGGCACTCGGGCTCCAAATTTCAGGTTTTCCCAGCCAAAAACTCCTGGAAATTTTAGGGAAAAACCACCAGCACCACATCAGTGTCTTTCATGGAATTTGAGGGAGTTCTACCTCTTTTTTTTCACCTTTAGCACCAACCAGTGAGTGATGGAGGCAACGTGGTCACCTCTGAAGGCTTCTACTCCTGGGGTCTGGGTTATTTTACATTGAGTTTTAAACAGGTTTATTGGCAATTATTTGACATTTTTGGGGGCTTTTTTTTTTTTTTTTTTTTTTTTTTTTTTTTTTTTTTTTTTTTTTTTTTTTTTTTTTTTTAATTTTATTTGCATTTTTTGGGGCATCTTTGTTTTGGCCGCTGAGAATCTTGAACCCAAACTGTCGAACTGAAATTGCCTGGGCAGGTTTTAAAGAATAGTAATTAAGTAGATTTTCTGCAGTTTGTAGTCCTGTCTTGATATATTTTTTTGTGTGTATTTCCTTGAGACCTTTGTGGATGGTCCAGGGTATCTCATGACTTGCTGCAGGAGTGTGTCCAGTTGGATTCATGGAATTCTGATTCTTTCTGAAGTGTTGCTTGTCACTGTGATTAATAATCCTGTAAAATTTCATTCCTGTTACAGCTCTGCCATTCCCACCTTTTATCTCTAATTCCTGCCTGGAATCCAGTGTATAATTAATTTGGCCTTAATTTCTGACACAAACTCAGATTCCATAAAACTCACTATGAAAATCCTTTTGGATTACGGGAGAATTCAGGTTTAGGAGCCAACAGTGCTTCTCAAAATGCTGTGACTTCACTCCACAGAAAATACCTGTATTTACTGTAAGAAACCAGGAAAACAAGCCCCTGAAATCCCACATCCTTCCAGGGTGTGACCAGTTGGTCCCTCTGCTTTCTAAAGTAACATTTGGTTTGAAGGACAGAAATTTGGGTTGAGTTTCCACCTTTACACTTGGCCTGAAGCTGAGTGAGGGAAGGGTTAGGTGGGATATTGGGAAGGAATTCCTGGCTGGGAGGATGGGCAGGCCCTGGCACAGGTTGAATCCCAGAGAAGCTGTGGCTGCCCCTGGATCCCTGGAAGTGTCCAAGGCCAGGTTGGAGTAACCTGGGAGAGTGGAAGGTGTCCCTTGTGGACACCAGGGAGTGGAATGAGATGATCTTTAAAGCCTCTTCCAACCCAGACTGTTCTGGGATCCTTTGATTTAACTCTCCCAAAGATGACCTATTCCCTGGATACGGATATCCTGGACTGAGGTGTCCCCACCAGTCTTCTCCCTCTTCAGCTCTGTTGGTCTTCCATCAGCAGAGGTAACTGTGCTGGCAGAATTTGGGGTGGGAATGGGAATGGATTTTGACCTGTAGAGGCATTTTCCATGGTAGCTTTTACCTTTGAATCCCAAAAAGCATCCAGGATGTTGTCCAAGAGGAATTGCTGGACGTGGTGGTCAGAGGTGGCTGAGCTCAAAGACTTGGTTTCAGATCCACCAGGGCTGGGTTGGCCTGCTCTCATCCCTCAGGGAACAGCAAACTGGTGGAGAGGGAAGGCTTTGGAATAGAAACATTTCCATTAGAAACATTCTCAGTAGAAACATTTTCAAACCTGAGTTTGGGGCTCGTTTTTTGCAGAGGAAAAGCAGATCTGTCCCTTTTCAAGCTCATATTTTTTGGATCGTTCTTGTGAGCTGGGACAGTGACAGAGCCCTCAGGACCTTGACCAGTGTTGGCATCTCCTCTGCAGGTCCGTCTACGATGGGGAGGAACACGGGCGGTTCATGGAGAAGCTGGAAGCTCGGATCCGGAACCACGACCGGGAGATCGAGAAAATGTGCAACTTCCACTACCAGGGGTTCGTGGATTCCATCACAGAGCTGCTCAAGGTCAGAGGAGAGGCCCAAAAACTCAAGGTGAGAGGAAGTCACGGCCTTGGGCAACTCGTTTGGGTCGGTCCTGCTTGAGCCAGGGGGGTTGGGACGGGGTGGTCCTACCCCAACTGCTCTGGGATTTTCTGAAACCACGTGAAATGCCTGCCCTCCTTTTTGTCCAGGACATCTCTCCTCTGTTGAAAACAAATTTAAAATATATATATATATATATAAATATCTCCTTATTCTTCCTGTAGAAATAGGTTGCTCATTGAAAATTCAGCAAACTGGACCAGGGGGGTGCATTGAAAACACGAGAAAGCTTAAAGCTAAGCCTGTCATTTGTTAGGAAATGTGCTTTTCCTGAGGTACCTGACCCCAGTTTCTTAGGCAAAAATAAGTTTGTGGCCTTTAAGGCTGTGCAGGAATGTGAGAGAAAGGAGGAATTGACCTTTCTCTCGTAGAACTGTATTTATATGTGGAAATATAATATTTGTATATGTTCCACATAAATAATATGTATATATACACCTCAGAAAAGCAAGTTTTCTGGAAAAGAGGGAAGAATCCTACTTTCAGTGTGCTGACTGTGCTTTTAATACGTTCAATCATTAATTTAAAACCACCTCTGGCATTTCCTATATGTCCATCACAGGAACACCTTCCTGAGGGATGTGCTAAGGAGGATTCATCCAGCAGGATGAGACTGTTGGAAATACTATGAAATAAGTCTTTCCCCCCTCCCTCCCTCCCTCTTTTTATTTTTTTTTATTTTTTTTTTAAGCCATTGTTTGGAGCCAAGAATTCCACATTGTTTGTTTGCAAAGGCTTGGTGCTGGTTCCCATTCTGCAAACAGCTCCTTTGTTGGTGGCTCACTGGGAAGTCCATGCCTTGTCCCCTCAGGATCTCTCTTGATTTCCACGACTGTGTGATCCATAAAACGGCACATGGTGTGGGGGGGAAAAATACCCACAGAAACTTCTCTCTTGAAAGGCTGAGCCCTCTTTGTGAGGGTTTCCTCAGGGAATCATCTGTGGATCGAGTGGTGAGAGTGGGTTTTGTTCCAGCCATTCATCCTGCATTTGATCTTGGGTTCTTTCTCAGTAGTGCTGGGCTTTGAACAGACGTTGCAACCAGCCATGAAATAAAAGCCCTCCCTGTCACACCCCCAGGACGTTTCTTCACTCGTGTGCTTTTGGCTCTGGGGTGTTTTGGAGGATGTTCTGTGTGCTGGAGTAGCAGTGGTGTTGTTTTAGGAGGGCACAGCCTGAACATGAGCTGCTTGCCTTGCCCTGTCCGTGTGCCACACAACCCTCAGGGCTGGGAGGTTGGGTTTCAGGTGGCCCCAAATGAACCAGAACCCAATCAGGACCCAATCAAGACATCTGCTGTCCTTTTTTTTTTTTTTCCCTGAGAGGACCTGGTGCTGAAATGGGAAGTTTTATCTCCTCAAACGTGAGCTCAGGTGGCCAAGAAGCCCAAGGGCATCCTGGGTGGTATCAAAAATGTGGGCACAGGATGTGGGCAGTGCCTGACCCTGTTCTGGCCCTACTGAGGCACCTCCAGCCCTGGGGGCAGCTCTGGGACCCTCAGCCAGGAGAGACATTGAGGGGCTGGAGCGTGTGCAGGGAAGGGAACGGAGCTGGGAAGGGGCTGGAGCAGCAGGAGGGGCTGAGGGAGCTGGGGGGGGCTCAGCCTGGAGAAAAGGAGGCTCAGGGGGGACCTTCTGGCTCTGCAATCCCTGACAGGAGGGGGAAGCCGGGGGGGGTCGGGCTCTGCTCCCAACAAAAAAGTGACAGGACAAGGGGAAACCGTCTTGAGTTGTACCAGAAGAAGTTTAGGTTGGATATTGGGGAAAATTCCTTCCTGGAAAGGGTTGTCCAGCCCTGGCCCAGCTGCCCAGGGCAGGGGTGGAGTCCCCATCCCTGGAGGGGTTTAAAATCCCTGTGGATGTGGAACTTGGGGACATGGGGCGGTGGTGGCCTTGGCAGTGCTGGGGGATGGTTGGACTTGATGATCTTTTCCATAATGAATTTATGATTCCATGATGAGCAGAGGAGCCCCCCCTGCCATGGATTTCTGCAGGAGGCAACTCTGTGTTGTTTTCAGGAGGTGCTGGGCCGCCATTAATCATCTATTTATATATATATATATATAAAGAAACTTAATTGGAAATACATGGGATGTGTTTTTTAAAAGGCATCTCCTTAATTTATATGATATTTAAACCATAACATTTTTAAACCAAACCTTTTTTTTTTTTGCATTTTCTTACCCTTTTTTAAAAACTGTGAAGCCTCACTGGCAATTCTCTCTCCTTTTAATTTCTTACATGGCTTTCCCTTTACTTACAAGGGAAATCTTTGATGCTTTGGGATTTTTTTTTTTTGTCATACATCTTTAATATTTTCATATCTTGTACTGCACGTTCTTCCTCAGTACAGAGTGAGCAGGATGGTGGTGACCTGATCTCAGTCCTATAAATACATGGGACTGCTGGGTCTTGGAACAGTTGGAGCAGTCTGGCTGTTCCATCCCATAAAGGATCCAGTGGAAATGAAAAGGCCAGAGATGGATGTTATGTTAGGATGGTTTAACTGGAAAAACACGGCTCAAGGTGCAAAGGACCACTAAGTCTCAGGGCTGGGGGCCCTGAGAACTCACCTAATCCACCCAATCCAATCCAAGTTGTTGCCCAGAGAAGCTGTGGCTGCCCCTGGATCCCTGCAAGTGTCCAAGGCCAGGCTGGAGCAACCTGGGCTGGTGGAAGGTGTCCCTGCCCATGGCAGGGGGTGGAACTGGATGATCTTTAAGGTCCCTCCCAACCTAAACCATTCTGGGATTCAACTGTGTCATTCCTGATGGATTTTTATCCCACCTCTCCAGTGCTGGCCCTCCCTGAGGTACTGCTCTCCTTCCTTCTCTGCAAACTCTGGTCATGTGGATGAAAAGTCTTTTTTTGGTCCTTTTTGACTTGTCATGCATAAAAAAAAGGGATTATTCCATCTTGGTTTCATAGAATCACAGGATTGTTTAGGATGGAAAGAAAAGCTCTCTGAGATCATCGAGTCAAACCATCCCCCAGCCCTGCCAAGGCCAGCACTGACCCCTGTCCCCAAGTGCCACATCCACAGGGATTTTAAATCTCCCCCAGGGATGGGGACTCCACCCCTGCCCTGGGCAGCTGTGCCAGGGCTGGACAACCCTTTCCAGGAAGGAATTTTCCCAGGCAGCCCCAAATCCATCCCAGGGGATTGTGCTTTCCAGGCATCTCATTTTCACTCTCCTTCTTTGAAGTCCTTCCAATCGGTGGAGATTGGGGATTTTTTTTTGGTGGTAAGCGTTGTCTCTGAGCTGGGGCAGGGAATTGGTCAGCAGGGAGATGGGGCAGGAATGTTTCCTACGAGGAAAGGCTGAGGGAGCTGGGGCTGTTCAGCCTCCAGAGGAGGCACTGAAGGGACCTCATCTGTGTCCATCAGGGAGGGGGCAGAGGATGGACCAGGCCCTTCCCAGGGGTGCCCACCTGTGGGACAAGAGGAATGGGCAGGAACTGATCCCAGGAAGCTCCACCTGGACACGAGGAAGAACTTTGAGCACTGATCAGATTGTCCAGAGAGGGTGTGGAGTCTCCTCACTGGAGATATTCCAGACCCATCTGGACGCAGTCCTGTGCCATGTGCTCTGGGATGGCCCTGCTGGAGCAGCTGACCCGCTGTGGTCCCTCCCAGCCTGACCCATTCTGGGATTCTTTGAAGTTCTGAGTTGTGAGGGGGAGAAAATGGGAAGGGAGCAATTTTTATTGGTTGGTGCATCCAGAGGAAGGCAGATCTGATTAAACTGAGGAGCTGGCTCGGAGCTCAGGGTATCTCACCTTCACCTATGCAAAACCAAGCAGGGATCTCCCTGCCCCAGCATGTGGAGATGACCCCAAAGTCCAGCAGTGGATTCCTGTAGGGATTGGGTTCGTGGGGGGAGAACAACTGAGGTGGTGGTGAACGAACCCAGACTGGGAATGGGAAGTTTGTGAGTTGCCAGTTTGAAGGATCACTCCATAGTTGCTCTCCCTTCCTTTGGGAGGTGGAAGCCAGTGGCAGGTGGGTGTAGGACAGGGCTGGGGCCGGCACATCCCTGCCGGGGTCACACCGGTGCCCTTGGGTCCATTCCCAGGGTTCTTCTCCTGCCCCCTTTGCTCCTCTCTCTCCTCACTGTGACACTCTCTAAATGACTTCAGAGTGGTGTTAAATCCCCCCAGGCCCTTCTCTGTGCCACGTGTTCCACGAGTGGATGGGTGAAGTAACGACCGGAGCATCCCGTAAGCCCCCGATGTGATCCCGGTGTCTCGTCCTTCCCGTGTTCCCACCTGTTGTCTGTCCCCCCTTGCTGGGAGCCTGCCTTAGATTATCAAATCTCCTCATCTGAAAAGCCTCCACTTGGCTACAGGGAGTCTGTGTAAATAATCATCTCCTTTTTCTTCGTGGAGACTTTAAGAACAAACCAAAACACGACTCACTGCCCCCTGAAAACCCGGAGTGTGCGAGGGCAGACGGTCTCCTGACTTTTTTTTTTTTCCCCTGGAGCTGGGATTGATATGTAATTTTAATAGAAGACTAGTACAGCCTTGGCATTATTTTAGGAGCAGTTTTAAATTACCCTACATGGATTCCTTTTTCCTGGTGGGATTTTCAGGATATAAGCAAATAAAGTAATCTTTGGAAGAGATGCTGTGCCGCCGCTCGTAAAATCTCGATACATCGTGGAGGAAATGAGCAGTTTTGGCGGAGGGCAAAGAGCCAGGAGAGCTGAAGCTACTGCAGGAAGGGGGGAGAGATGCGAGGCAGATGCCGTGGAGAAAGTGTGTGTGGGGGAAATCATGGGATGATTCCTCTTTCTTCCATCGTGGGAAGCTTAAAAACCGGCGTGGCCGGTGTTGAAAGAAGAGGAAACTTGTGAGGTTTGATGGCTCTGCTGGTTGAGGCGACACAGTGGGAGATGACCTGGTGGAGGCTGGGTCAGTGTGGGAGACCCTGCAGGGGAGAAAATGGATCCTGGGTCAATTTTATAAATATCAGTAGAGAGCTCCCCTCCTGTCTGAGCTGTGTTTGCCTTGTGGTGCACTCAGAAAGTTGGGAGAGCATGGAATCATCAAGGCTGGAAAGACCTTTAAGGTCGTCAAGTCCAACCATCAACCCGACACCATCACCGTGTCCACCAGTGAATCGTGTCCCCAAGGGCCACATCCATGTGTTTTTTTGACAATTCCAGGGATGGGAACTCCACCACTGCCCTGGGCAGCTGTGCCAGGGATGGACAGCCCTTTCCAGGAAGGAATTTTCCCCGATATCCAATTTAAACCTTCCCTAGTGGAACCTGAAAACCGGGAACCTCTGAGAGATAGAGATGGGCCTGGAAATGAGTATTTACAGCTTTAGTGGCTGTGAAAGGAATATTCTGTGGAAAAAGAAGTAGTTTTATGGCTTATTAGTCTTGGACTGATGTGAATCCTGAGCAGTCCTACTGGATTTACCTTGGGAATTGGCTGCTTTTGCTGGAGACCTGGAGCTGGGCATGTTTGCTTGGAAGCTGGTGTAGTTTTTTTAGAAGATGGTATCTCTGTTTACAAACCTGCACCTCTCTGGACTTGAATGAGTGTTCAGGAGAATTCCCAAAGTCATCTTCCTACTTGCTGGCCAAATAATGGGTGAACTGCTAATTTCCCATCCTGATGTGTCCAGAAATCCCCTTTGTTCTCGTGTGGGTCCTCACTGAGTCACCTCATGCCTGGGGCTGGGAAGGGCTGGACCGGTGGACTAGTCCAGGGAACTGCAGGTTTGCCAAGTGGGAATTTTTTCAGCTCTTGAGTCCCAGCTTTATGGGATAATACAGAAAAATAGGAAGGAATACAGGCCTTTTTTATCCCAGGTGTATAAAAATACCTTTTTCTGCCAGGCAGGAGAAGGGAACCGGTGGAAGGTGCATCTGAAGATCTAAAAGAAAGTTTTCTGGCCGTTTATATAAATAGAAATAATTGTTTATAGGTAAAGCCCATGTCAAAAAGTTCTTTCTCACTGTGATACCAAGGAGTTAAAACCTAATTGTAATTTCTATGGTGTTGGGAAGGGCATTTAATTCCTCCACTGGCTTTTAAGGTGAGAATCCACGTGAGCATCTGGTAGAACGTTGGATCCATGAAAACTGCAGGGTTTTGAGGCTTCCATGCCACAGTTTTAACTCCTGATGCCTTTTACTCCTCTCCAGTGGCAGGGAGGGAAATCCTTATATTCATATCCTGAGTGGAATGAGCCACTAAAGACCTTTTTTCCGTGGAGTCGGAGGTTGGGTGAGGAGCGATGGTGTTTGTGCACAGTCTGGTTTTATGGGAAAACCACTGCCCTGATTTATTGGTGTGCTTTGTCTTTTCTCCCCAATATTCCTGCAGAACCAAGTGACAGACACCAACCGAAAGCTGCAGAATGAAGGGAAAGAAGTAAGTGATCCAATCATGGAATGTGGGAACGGGTTGGGCTTGGAAGGGACATCTCCCCACTCCCAGGTTGCTCCAAACCCCGTCCAACCTGGCCTTGAATCCTTGTTTCACCCTTCTCCCCATCCACAGTTTTTTCTGTTGGAGCCTGAGCGTTTAAAAATCCCCCTTGGTTTGGGAAGAATCCCCTCGGGAACGAGCGGCTCCCTGGGTTATCAGGGCAGGCTCGGTGCTCACCCTACAGTTCGGGTGGTCATGACCAGTGTGGATGGTTTTTAATGGGAATTTTTTTTCCCCTCCCTTTCCCAAAGCTGATAATTGCCATGGAGGAGCTGAAGCAGTGCCGGCTGCAGCAGAGGAACATTTCGGCCACGGTCGATAAGCTCACGCTGTGTCTTCCCGGTGAGGAACCTCCCAACTGCTCCTGGCCCGTGTGTGTGTGTGTGTTTGGATTCCTCCATCTCTTTGCTTTGTGCTCAAGGCTCCTGTGTTTCCCTTCTCTTTCCAGTGCTGGAGATGTACAGCAAACTGCGGGAGCAGATGAAATCCAAGAGGTAAATTTTGCGTTGATTTATCGGTGGTTTATTATTATAAAAAAAAAACGGTTGTTCGGCGCTGAGTAGATTAAAGAGGTTCCCAGAGCTTCCAAATCAGCCTTTCCAGGTTAGCTCCTCTGATTTTTGGCTGGTTCCCCTCTCAGTCCTGCTCATCCTCCGGGAACTGGGATGGCAGCAGGCTCAGATTTTGTTTTGTGTCAGATTTTGGAATGAAGGTGGATATTCCTTGTTTTTTTATGGAAGCTCCCTGTTGTTGTGCGTGCAATCAATGAGTGTTACCAACTTAATTTCATTCTGTGAATGCCATGATGCATAATCTAATAATGCCAATTCTAATACCACCTGAGAGATTCCAATGAGTGTGGGTGGAAGTGGAAACCAAACACGAGGATGGTGGAATCAAAAATAACTCTTCAGGAGAGTGAGCTGAGCTCCAAGGACTTGGTGTCCCTGATACCATGAGGTGTAAATCCAGGATTTTCCCCTCCCTGCATCTGCTGCATGAGGGATTAAACCATGGCCTGGGATGTTTGCTGGAATCCTGGGGGATGGTTTGTTTAAACAGCATGGAGCGACTTGGGAGCCCTGGGGGGTGGCAAATTGGGCAAAGAGCAGCTGCTGGGAGGAGGGAGGCTGGGAACGTGGCTCCAGCTGGATGCCAGGCAGGGAGAGCAGTGGGATCCCTGGCTGGTGCCTGCCATCCATCATGGGAACAGCCCAGAAGGAGCCAGATGTTTGGAACGAGGCGATAACTAATGGGATGGGGGGGGGGGTGTTTTTACACCTCTGCTCCCCCCCAGGGTCCTTGGGCAAACAGATAAGTGGAACTCCTGGAAGTTGGGCTGGTTGGAGGAGCCTTAGGGAGTTCCCAAAGCCGCTCCCCACGCTCCTCCCTCTCCCTCAGGATGGCTCAGGGCAGGGCAGGGGGAGTTTGGCCGAGTGTTTTTAGTGTGTTTTTAGGAACAGAGAGGGCCTTCTCTGCTGACAGATGTGGGGTGGGAGCTGGAGCAGAGCACAACCCTGGGAACTCCTGAAGGGAATCCACATGCTGCCCCATTCCCTGCTCTGGATAGTGTTTCCAGGGTCTGCTTCTAAGAATTCCATCTTTTTTTTCTTTTTCTTTCCCCTCCTCCTTCTTTTGTATTGGTTCATTTTGAAACAAATAGGAGCTGAAAGCCACATTTAAGGAATATCTGAACCCTTGGCTGTTTTTTTTCTCCCCTTCTTTCTTTGTCTGGATTTGATGGCTTCATTCACCAAACGCAGCACAGTATGTGAAGTATTTTTATTTCTGCACCCAGTGTCACTTGTAAATCACTTCAGGATGGGCAGCAAAGGGTTGGGTTTTGGGGTTTGGATGCACAGTCTTGGAGGAATAATAGGGTTTGTGTTTGGGGTGAATAAACCCTCCCACGTTTCGTTCTCCCAAGGCAAACAGAACGAGCTGGGTGATGATCATAACCCCAAATCTGTGGCCATGAGCTGGAGGTGGAGAATGAGGAATGGTCTGATCCCAAAGGAGTGACAGGAACCAGCAGAAGAAAGATTTTCTCCCCCATTGTCCAGAATTTAAGGAAGGGGACGGAAAGAGCTTTTCTCCCACGGCTGAGAGACAAGTGGAAAATGATGGGAAACCCCAAAATCTCTGTCTCCAGGGATTTCCCTCCTGGTTCTGCAGAACTCTGGAGGGATCAGCCTGTTTTGTTTCCTCCTGGGTCACTTGTCGTGTCCAGGCAGTAAGAAATGGAATTACAAAATCCCAGAATGGTTTGGGTTGGAAGGAACCCTAAAGATAATCCAACCCCCTACCATGGGCAGGGACACCTTCCACCAGCCCAGGTGGCTCCAACCTGGCCTTGGACACTTCCAGGGATCCAGAGGCAGCCACAGCTTCTCTGCCCAACCTGTGCCAGGGCCTCCCCACCCTCCCAGCCAGCAATTCCTTCCCAATATCCCATCTAAATCTCTGTTTTTCTACTGGGAAACCATTCCCCCTTGTCCTGTCTCTACAGTTCCTGATGCAGATTCCCTCTCTTGCTTCCCTGTGGGCCTGAGACGCTCCATGGGAAGGTTCATGGATTCCATGGGAATTCCATCAAGCAGAGCCTGGGTCTTTCCAGGTCTGACCCTGTTTATCAAAATCCTGCTCCCCCCACTCTGGGAGTGCTCCTGGGATTCAGAGTTGGGAAAGAGGTGTCCCCCTCTGGGAGGCTGCTCAGAGGTGTCAGGGGATGTGACCTGCACCCAAACAACACCCTAAAATACATAAACCCCCACCCCAACCTGTGTTTATTCCTCTGGATTAATTCCTGGCTTTTCCCTGCGCTCCCAGATTTCTCTCCAGAGAGTTTTGATTTCGGTTCAAGTGGTTTCTCACTCCTTTCCCAGTGTAAACACCGGTTGGGTTATGGGGTTTGACTTCTGCTGTTGGGAGCAGGACAGGCCACTCTGGTTGGAATAACTGCCCTGTGGAGCTGCCTGGGGCTCAGGCAGGGATTATTTTGGGTGGGAAGGTGAGTGTCAGGTTGTTTTCACTGGTGCCCATCTGTTTCTTACAACTGAATATTATTTCTCCCCCCAAAAAAATTCAAGGTGTGAGTGGTAGATTCTGGTGAACAGGATTGGCTCTGGGTGTAATTAGCTAAAATTGCCTTAATTCACCCTCAAGGTGACTGACCTGGGGTTGGTCTGAAATATATTTTATATATTTTGTATTTATTTTCCACTGTTGATGCTTCCTAAATGGTTCCCTGGTCATTTTGTGTGTCCTTTGATCAGATTTTTTGGTCAGAACAGCAGGAGTATCTTGAATCTTCCATCTCCATTCAGGGCGGTTCCATATTCCAGCAAACAGGCAAATGCTGCGGATTCCCACTTTCCAAAGGGAAAAAAAGATGGGTGGGAATTTGAGAAAAATTAATTTCTTAGACAGATTTTCCATTTAGCATCACGTGCCAGGCTCTGAAATTTGCTTTTCTGCAGAAAGGGAGGGTAAAATGTAAGGCCATTAGGAATTCATTGTGCACAGGGAGGGAAACCTTGGGAATCTTACAGCCTTAAATTTATAAGTTACATTTGTTTTAAAGGAGGGAAATGAGTTATTTTGAACACCGTGAAGGTCACACACCCCGTGGTACAGCAGCAATTCCTGGAGAGGCAGGAGCTTGGTGGAAAATGTATCTGTTGAACACCTAATGTGGGATTTGGATCCATATTTCCCCACTTTGTCTAAGTAAAAATCACTTTGGATGGAAATACTTTTAATGGTGTTTTAGGAGGATTGGAATGGTCGGGAGGAAGGTGGGATCAGACTCCTGGTGTCCAGAGGGAAGGGGCTGAGCTCTCGTGTCCAGGGTCTTTCCAACACCATAACAAGTGTCTGTGTAGGTCTGGATCTGTTGGATATGGATGTGTTGGACACTGGTTTATCAGTTTATAGGATTTTATGGTGTATTGCCACCTCCATGGTTTTCTCACTGTCAGGGGTTGCCAGCCTGGTGTGGAGGGAGGTGTCCCTGCCCATGGCAGGGGTTGGAACTGGATCATCCCTAAGGTCCCTTCCAACCCCGAACACCCCATTATTCTAAACTTACAGAGCTGGAATTCTTAGTTGGATTGACTAATTTTACAGTTAATTCACCTTTTTCGAGGGAAGAGAGGATGGAATTGGCTCCACACGTCCCTTCCTTGTTGTCCCCAGGCACTACCCTGCCCTGAAGACCCTGGAGCACCTGGAGCACACCTACCTGCCCCAGGTGAGCCACTACCGCTTCTGCCAGATCATGGTGGACAACATCCCGAAGCTGCGGGAGGAGATCAAGGAAGTGTCCATGTCAGACCTGAAGGATTTCCTGGAGAGCATCCGGAAGCACTCGGACAAGATTGGAGAGACGGCCATGAAGCAGGTAGGGCTCGTTTGTGTGCACACGCTCCGGGGGCTTTTTTTGGGGGGGCAGGATGGTGGTTCAGTCGTCTCAAAGTTGTGCTTTTCTGCTCCCCCCCAAGGCAGTAAGTTGGATTTTGGAGTCGTTTTGCTGCCAGGTGAAGCCGTGATTCTTCCTTCCGTGGGTGCTCCCGGAGTTTTTTAATCTCAATTTTTTGTACTGTCACAAAGCGATGATCCAGTTTTCTCATTGCCTTCCCCCACCTGGATTTTGCCGCAGGCTCTTCGTAACTTGGAGCCTGGGAGGTGCAGTTGGTGTTTGAAACTCTCATTTTCCACTTGCCATTTGTGCTGCTGTGCCCGGTTGGAACTGGAAGAGCTGGAGGCACCAGCATTGATCTCCCAGTTTGGAGAAAAGCAGTAGGAGTTCAGGAACTGAATTTAATTTATTTTGCATCTTAAGCTGGTTTTGGAGCGCTGGATAAACTCGGATCGGGGCTGGATTGCCTTGGCCCAGCACTTGGTGCCTGTAAAAGATGAACCTGATGAATTGAACATCCCTGTGTGGGTGTTAAATCAGAATTGCCTCTTCCCACCTCCTGTTTAATATTCTAGTTTCGAGTTTCAGTGCAGTTTATCTTGTCACAGCTGGGGAGCAAAGCTCCCAGTGGCTCTTAAAAAGAACTTTGCTACTTTGATGAAATTCAAATCCCCTGGCAGTGAAATGTTACCTCGTACGAGCAGTAAAACACTTCCTCTGATAGTGATGGATGGCTGGGATGTGTTGATTTGTGGGAAGGGCTCTTGCCATAATTTTTCACGAGATGATAAAGGTGGTGCTGTTTATGATTAGAGGTTCAAGTTCAATTTTCCATCTTATAAACCCCATCCTTGAGGATTTCTATTAATTGATTTAATTTCAAGTACTCCCCACGCCTTGTTTTTCTTCTCAAGCCTCTTCCTGGTATTTTGGCAGAGCAAACCAAACCTGTTCTTGTGGCACAGAGGTGTGGGGAGATGCCGCTTGGCGTCTGAGAGTTCAGCAAACCTTTTTATTCAAACCAAAATCATTTTGTCTGAACGTGCAGAAAAACACGCCATGGCCTGGCCGTGGTTTGGTGGAGCCACCAAGTGCAGGGTGGCTGTGGCTGGGGGGGCGGGGGCTCCAGGTGTTGGATTTACCTGAGGCAGCAGCTTCTGGAGCAGAATTGCTTATAAAAACGCTCTATTTTTGTTCACTGTGGCAGGCAGAGCTGTTTTGGAAGGTTCCCGGTTCGGTGATCTCGGTTGGGTTTGATGATCTTGGAGGTCTTTCCCAGCGTAAATGATCCTGTGATTGCTGGCTGGAAAGGAATAGGGGATTGATTTGTTTGGTGTTCAGTCAACCCAGCAAATATACTCTTTCAATAAATAAATAAATACATTTAAGTTCTCTTAAGGGTATTTAGCAATTTTAGACACATGAAAAAGGGTGCAGATGTTTTGTTGTCCTGTAGTTTCCCATTTCATACTCACGGTTCTGGGAGAGGCATTTCAACCTCCTGGCCCCTGGTGGTTTTGATGGGTGAGATCTTAAAGTCCAGCCACGTTTCTGTGGCTGTTTAGGTGACCAATTCTAAAAAACTTCCATAATTTCCAATACCTTTTTGATTTTTTCTGCCCAGAGTCAGTTCTGTAGCTTTGTGTTTCCATCTCTTTCACATCCATGGTGCGCTTTATCCCTCCTGCTCTGCCTGGAGCTCTGTGGATTCTCTATCTCTTGCTCCAAAGGAGTCCTGTGGGCTGTCCTGGTGTTTCCCTCACCACTTCTGACCCTTCCTCCTCCTCACAACAGTTGCCTCCTGCAAACCAGGGGAGGCACTGATGGGTTGGGGGGAAGTGGCTGCTCCTGCTCTGCCCAGGTCCAGGAACTGGGGGCAGTAGGTGAAACCAGCTGGAAATGAAGGAGAGGGAAAGCTGGTTCTTCATCCTGTGGGTGATGGACCTGTGGAGCAACTCGTGCATAGTTTTCAGGGAATCCTGGAATGGTTTGGGTTGGAAGGGAACTTAAAGCCCATCCACTCCCACTCCCTGCCACGGGCAGGGACACCTTCCACCAGCCCAGGTTGCTCCAACCTGGCCTTGGACACTTCCAGGGATCCAGGGGCAGCCACAGCTTCTCTGGGCAACCTGTACCAGGGCCTGCCCACCCTCCCAGCCAGCAATTCCTTCCCAATATCCCATCTAACCCTGTCTGAAATCATTCCCTGTGTGCTGTCCCTCCATGCCTTGTCCCAAGTCCCTCTCCAGCCCCTTGTCTTTAATTTGCCTGCAGATGGCACAGGGAATTTTACATCCTCAGTCTCCCCCAAATCCCTTGTTTTCTGCTGGTTTATGAGAGGGCTTTGCAGCCTTGAGAAGGGGTTTCCTTCACTTCACCCTTTTGTGGGAGCAGAGTTGTCTCCCAGCTTGGACTCCGTGGCTGGATCGTGGATGAAACTCAACTTGCCACTTGCAAGCCGAGTTGGAGCGACGCTGGAATTTGAGCAGGTTTATTCCTGGACAAAAAAAAAACCACACCCCGAGCTGCTGCTTGGATGGAGAAACGAGAGCTGAGGGGTCACTTCCCTTTGGCAGTGCCGACAGCAAGGGGCAGGGTGTCCCCTCCCGGGATCGCCGGGTCCTTCTCCTCGCTCTGCTGGCTGTGATGGAGAACGGCCCTGGAACGGGAGCCGAGCTGGCAGGAGGCCTGGAGAGTCAGGGGAGCCGCGATTGGCAGCTCCGTCCATTCGGTTTAAATTAGCATCATATAAATTCTTTTAAAATTGTTTGATTTCACCAGCGGGAATGGAAGGAGGCCTTGATACAATGGGGAGAGGAAATGGTGTTTTTGTAACATTACAAATCTGAGGCCGACGATGACAAGGGCTGAAAATTTCATTTTGTGATAATCAGAAGGATCTGTCTTGGAGCGCTCGGAGCCGTCGCTGTTTCTGGCCGGGAGTCAAGGACTGGGGGGAGCTGGATGGGGGAGAGGTGGGTGGAAGGAGTG